ATCGCTCTCGGTGGTGCTAACGTTAAAAATAACCGCCACTTTTTTCAAATTTTCTTGCTGTGCTTTTCACACCTGATGATGATTGCTTGTGTTGCAGTCGAAACGTCGTGAGAATTTTATTGTTTAATATGTTTATTATTTTATTATTTCCCTTCGACGTGACTTTACCGAAAGAACCAAGAATATGCTTCAAATCGCTTTAAACTATTGTCATTGTAGTGCGTATTTAATGTGGCGCTGCACTCTGATGTTGTAAGAGAAAACATTTATTCAAAAGTCTTTAATTAAGTAGAACGTGTGGTCTATATTTATTTAAAGTTGCGCATTTTGATTTGACGTCACATTTCTCAACCCCCCCCCCCCCCTCGTCACACATTGTCACAAATGTCTGACCCCCTCCCCCCCCCTAGCAGCGTGACGTCATTTATAGACGGCCCCTTACAGGAGATTAACGCATTGGTGGCACGGGTCTTTGAGACTTTGTTTGGTTGTTCCGTGCTAACCTCTGGTGAACACAACACCGTTTCCCACTGACTTGTGTTTGTATGTTGAACTTCTTTCGCATCGTGCTTAGCCAACTGCGCAAATCGGAGGTATCCGGGGGAGGGAACAAATGACTTGGGAACAATCAGCTGGCTCTTCGGTTTTAGCCCCTCTTATGCAGAAGAGCGGTCACGGTGGAGTGGGTGAGAGAGAGCTTACTTGGGGAATGACTCGTCCCGAGAGAAACACCAAGATTTCTTCATCCTCTTTGTTATTGGGAACTCCACTTTCAGTCCCGAGAGCAAATACTCTGGGACTAATATCTCAACATCCTCCCGAGTTACTTTTGGTGGCCTCACTCCCTGAACCAAGGATAATCCAAGCACTGGTGGAGGATCGGTCCGGGACGGGGATTCCCAGTAGGGATGTAAGACGAGCTCCCCCCCCCCCCGCCCCCCAACAGAAGTGACTTCGAGGCCCCAGATGTGCGTTTGACCAGCATTTTGATAAATCTGCGACGGAGGCGGTGACATTTTACGTTAAAAGTGTCACCGTGTCGGGAATTGGACGCTTTTTAGAGTATGAACAATGCCGACAGCTACAGTATGAAATCTTTATCTGGCAAATCTTTATCTGACAAATCTTTATCTAGTAAATCTTTACCTGGCAAATCTTTATCTGGCAAATCTTTATCTAGCAAATATTTATCTAGTAAATCTTTATCTGGCAAATCTTTATCTAGCAAATCTTTATCTGGCAAATCTTTAGCTAGTAAATCTTTACCTGGCAAATCTTTATCTAGCAAATCTTTATCTGGCAAATCTTTATCAAGTACATTTTTATCTGGCAAATCTTTATCTGGCAAATCTTTATCTAGTAAATCTTTATCTGGCAAATCTTTATCTATTAAATCTAGCAAATCTTTATCTAGTAAATATTTATCTAGTAAATCGTATCTAGTAAATCTTTATCCGACAAATCTTCATCTAGCAAATCTTTATCTAGTAAATCTTTATCTGGCAAATCTTTATCTAGCAAATCTTTATCTGGCAAATCTTTATCTAGCAAATCGTTTTTATTTGACAAATCTTTATCGAGTAAATATTTATCTGACAAATCTTCATCTAGCAAATCTTTATCTAGTAAATCTTTATCTGGCAAATCTTTATCTAGCAAATCTTTATCTGGCAAATCTTTATCTAGCAAATCTTTTAGTAATCTGTATCTAGTAAATATTTATTTAGTAAATCCATCTAGTACATCTTTATCTAGTAAATCTTTATTTAGTAATCTGTATCTAGCATCCTCTTTGTTGTTAGTGCCTTTGGCTCTCGACAGGTGTTGAGCACAAATGCATAACCGTTAATTATATATTACCTGCATATGGTAGATGTTTCAAATGTCTATCAGAAATACTTTTGTCAGTCGCAAATAAACGACTTGGGAGTGTGCGTTCTAATCATACAACAATACAAGCCAGGCATCCTTCTAACAAATGGATAATTAAATTAACGTACAATACGTTTCATTTTAATGTAATTGGAGCTCTTTGACAATTCTCTACCATGCGAACGAGTACTGAACGGTGCAAGGGAGAGTACTAAGACGGGCTCGGATCACTCACCGCGCATGTTAGCCATGGCCAGGAATCAAACTCAGATTAGCACGGTTGGCTGCGTACGGTGCAAAAGAAGTTCAATATACAGAGCATCGGTATCCGGAAATGAAGATGCACAAAGGAAAATACTTTTCCTGGAAATGTAAATAAGGCACACAATAACCTGATTTATTGTTACAAAAATGGCACATTTATTGCTACATAAATGTTATATACATACAGGAGTTTTGAAGTAACTACAGACAGAAACAAAGTTGAAACAGACTTGTTGACCGGAAACACGTAGGGTCCCAGCAATTTAACCATTTTTTTCCCACTCGGCTATGAATCTGAAAGGTTGGACGTGACGGAAATGCAAACACAGCTGAGCTCTCCAATTCCAACTTACTTTTACAATTAAAACAGGCTATTTTATAGGCACTAAACTAGCGATAAACTACACTGCGTTTTTTTAAATTTAAACTTACTTACTACCATACGCCTGGCAATATCATTAACAATTTATGGCAAAATAACTAGCTTTGCTACCTACAGTAGTAAAATAAAGTAACAAACTTTTTAAATTTTTACGCAAACTTTTTTCGATTTCAAAAATCTAGAAAGAGTAATATCCTGCATTCCAGAAATTTCATACAAGATTTATGGTATAAAAGGCTAGCTACAGTGAAAAATAAGCCGAATGTACCTTTCTTTATCCTTAAGCACAGCTTTGCTTTCAGCGCATACCACAAAGTCTATATAGTTAATAGCAAAATCAAAATAGCGGCTTCAAACACGCTTCGCAAAACAAGGCTCTGCAATGGCACAACAACCACCCAGCCCCGTTGTTTTATCCTCCAAATACTGAAATGAACAAGGCCACACGTTGAAGTCATGTCTCGCAATAAAAGCTACAGTATGTACAGTACATACACCACTAAATGCTTTCTGAAGTGTACGAACGAAATAATAAAAAATATAATTAATGCACGGCACAAAGTCAGCACACAACCATACGGAAATGGTGATTTTTTTTGCGCGTGCGGTCAGCCTGATTCCCCGTTTTAATTTTTGTTCTCCCGTCAAGCTACTCAAGATGTTCATATCAACTGCTCCTTACAACATCTAGTAAACAAGCCAAAGCATAACCTCCTTAATTGTTTTAATGTGTAATGATAAAAAATGACAGGACTTTTTAATGATAAAGGTAGACCACCCCCCCCCCCCCCAAACTTTTTGTTGTTGACGCAATCTTGGGTTTCGTGCGATTGATTATTGTCCAGTCTTTGGGAGGATTTAAACATTTCTCCGTTGGGCCCTCGTGGTAATGAGTGAGCTACGTCGAGCCGCTTGCGTTCGAAAACGCAAAACACTTGTGTTGTCACGGGCGCTTCGGGCGCGCTAGATGCTCCATGCCTACACAAAAGCAAATCGGGGCGCTGCTAAGTAGCACCACACTCCACTTGGCTAGGTGAAGTTTAACGTCCCGATTTCACAGCCACCGATGAAGTTGGAAGGGCAGGGGCACGGCAAGATGTTGATATTTCTCCCTCGCTGATTAACACGATAACGTATGTATGAACAAGACTGGAAGACGGTTAAGTATGGTAGTTGGCAAAACTAATTACGGTATGATATACAATATAAAAGTTTTCTGCACTACGGGCGCAATGGCGATAGGTTGCTGAAATGTAAAGGTCTGAAACTGCCGAGTTTGCGAAGTAATTTGTTTTACTGTAGCTGCTGGTGGATGGCAGCAGAAAAAAAATGACATCCACCATAAAATGTTTAACACAATTATATATATTTTTTAAAGGAACATGAACAGTAAAATAGGTATGTTTTATCCACTGAAAGACATTTGTCAAGCTTATACATTTTAATTTTCTTCCCTTTTTGTTGTTGTTTGTGCTTTGTTCGCAGATATTTCCATTAAGTTGGGTGCTGGATATGATGTGCTTAATAAAACAAGGTAACGACACGAATGGCATATAATTACACTCTGCAATAAAAATTTCACAGGGGATCGGAAAAAAACGACTCCCTTTTTTTTTTACAAATGCACTGTATACGTCTAGAAAACCGTAATAAAGAAAATAGTGTAGCACAAAGATAGAAAACATTTTCATAGAAATCAAACCGCAAAAAAATGACAACGCAACAATCGTCGAACAGAACCACAATTATTTGTAAGAAATACAATGCTATACCATATCTGCATGGAGTTCATAATCATGTCTGCTATTGGCTGGTGTCACATTTAGTAACTTTTTTTTATTCATGATGTGAAGATGTGTAAATGAATGTCATAAGCTGATTGAGTTTTACACCATTTCACACAAAGTTTGTTACTCTGGTCAAATGGAATGGACAGTACAAAATAATGTTCTCCCTTTTTTAGTTTAAGACAACAGGTCAAGATTTAGGGAATGCTGGGGTCAATTTGTTTTTTATATATTTTTTCTTTTTTTCTGCTTTTTGTATACATTTTTTTTTCATTTTTGTAAAACTCCACTGGCACAAGCCTCTCTTTGCCAGCAGGTTTCCTAACACACTAGGTGAACGAGCACGATAATTCATAAAAACTCAACACAGACATCCCTTTCAAAAGCATATTTTCCCCCCACCCATGTTCTAAAAAAATCAAAAGGTTTGTAATAAATACATTTATTACGACTACTGTGCATTTTAAGTCAGACTTTAAATTTTTTTTTTAGGCACAATGAAACTCTCCCGCACAACATGTGGGGGAGAATTGGCTGCCAAACTTCTGGCAGGCTGCAATCTTCGCTGGCAACAGAAGTTACTGGATATGTCAACATTCGTTGTGGGTCAACACACATTCTTGGGGCGTAGGGAGGGAGGTGATGAATTGGGTTGGACTCCCGGTGGGTTGGGGGCAGTGGGGGAGACGGGGATGTGCAGGGGAGTTTGTCCTCTGCTCGTCTTCTTGGGCAGGTTGGGTGGGCAGCTGAAGACCACACGCAGCAGCAGCAGCAGCAGCTTGCTCGAGTGTTGTAGTACGTACGTGTGTCCGTGTAAGTGTGTGTGTGTGCGCGCGAGTTCGTGCACATATGGACAGCTTTTACAGCTTCGCAGCGTCGGAGAATTCAGAAATGGCCAACACCATCCACTGAGAACCTGAAAAAGAGGCATGAGAGCAACCGAGTCACATGTATTTGAGGAGGAAACAAACAAGCCTCTCAAACAGGCCTCAATTCACATCTCATTATAATTATTAATCGTGAACATATGTACGGCACTTTTACAGGCTGTATGGCTAAGAGGTTTGATATCCTTTTTAAAATGTGCCTTTGGTTAACACATCGGACCACGTAATATTACGGTATTATAATTAAAGCAGTAAAGCACAGTAGTGCTCCAAATGTTCGAATTGTGCTGCAAGGTTTTGAGAAGTTTATGTTCGTATAATTAGCACAATTCGTGTTTAATAAAAATGCTGTCTGCTATCCATGTTGGCAGTGAGTGCTGCCCGCAGCATGCTGTCTCTCAAGCAGATACACGTTCAGGAAATACTTAAGAGTCAAAGGAAAAAAGATTTTAAATGAGGAAAAACATACAACTTAACATATTTAACTGCTATTACACATCCCTTAATGCGCAAGTTGCCCCGTGGCAAGCAAGGCAATAAAATATTTACGAGACGTTTTGCAATTTTATGTTCATCATCAAGTAAGCCCCACCTGTTTTGCTAATAAGTTCGGCTTGAGAATATTTCTGAGAACGTGGGCGATTGAGTCGTTGTTTTTTGCTTTGCTTCCTACTAACTACTTTGCGATGCCCGAATGCCGGGTACAGAAATAAACCGGTGCACATAAACTACTCCCCCCCCCCCCCCCCCCGTATGTGTGAGCTGTTGTCACAAAGCACCGCGAGTATTATGTGCGAGCACGCTCGTGTTGAGGGGGAGGCCTCATGCCGCAAGGACTGGGGTGAACACCGACGTTTGCAAATTATTCCGATGCATTTTTTTTCCTTTTGACAATTGTGCAAAACAATGTATTTATCTTTTGATTTAAAGCTTTCGTGACTGCAGTAATTCACATTCTTAGCTCTTTCGGTAAAGTCACGTTGAAGGGAAACAATAAAATAATAAAATATATAAAACAATAAAAATTATCACGACGTTTCGACCATAACACAAACGGTCGTCATCAGGTGTGTCGGTTTGCAATAATGTATTTATTTAAAAGCGGTGTATTTATTTATTTATAAAAACGTCAGCGCCACGCGCAGCGATTTAGCAGTTTATTTAGAAGGACTAGTCCATCTATGTTCTGAAAAGAGGAGGGGGGAGACGAAAAATTAATGTATGCTGTCTGAAAGCCACTATAAGCGTAAACAATCAATTAAGACCTGAAATGGTTAATCAAATCTTTCCAATAATTGCTAAGCCAGAATCCATCTTCTCGGTTGAAATTGTCTCTGTGCTTGTATATGTGGATAGCCTCATGAACGAATCTCTCATGGCAGCCAGATTGCTTACAAAGAACCTCTGTCTTAGAAAAGTCAATGTTATGTGAGCCTACTAAATTATAACAATGATCTGCCACGGCCGAGGTGTTGGTCCTACCGTGTTTAAGGTCTGCTTTGTGTTCACGAATGCGGTCCAAGACATGGCGTTTGGTTTCTCCAATGCAACTACTACCACAGAGGCAACTTAGTTTGTAGACACCAGGGTACTGTATGTCCGGAATCACATCTTTTACAGACGGAACCAGATCACGGATTTTATGTAATGTGTTGAAACGGACCTGGATTGTGTTTATTCAAGATTTTGGAGATCTTTTTTGTGATCCCTGCAATGTAGGGTAAAGTGATGGTTTTGAAAGGCTCCTCAAGAGGGTCCTTCTTCATGGTTTGAGTGATAGCTTTGCGGATTGTATAGTCGGAGTAACCATTAGCCTTAAGAGCTTGGTGTACGACTTGCTTGAGTTCACTGCCTATGTGTTCCTGGTCGGATATGCATTGGGCTCTATGGTACAGAGTCTTGATGAGAGAATTCTTCTGTGATGGATGGTGGTGGGAATCCGGTTTCAGATAAGCATCCGTATGGTTAGCTTTCCTGTAGACAGAGTGGCTCATTGAACCATCAGGTCACTTTTTATTAGGACATCCAAAAAAGGTAGCTTGCCATCTTTTTCGACTTCCATGGTAAATCTGATGGCTGGGTGTATGGAATTGATGTGGTCGAAGAATTGGTCTAGAGCAGGCCGGCCATGTGGCCAGATGACAAAAGTGTCATCCACGTACCTCTTCCATAAGGTTGGGCGCAGAGTGGCAGTCTGGATGGCGTCAGTCTCAAATTTCTCCATGAAAATGTTAGCTATAACTGGAGATAGGGGAGAGCCCATTGGGGTGCCCTCAGTTTGTTTGTAGAAAGTTCCATTCCAAGTGAAGTATGTATTGGTTAAACAGTGTCTCACCAGGGGGGGTACCTCAGTGTTTAGTCCTTGATGAACCAAGTCTTCAATGATTGCGATGGTGTCAGGTACAGGAACCTTGGTGAATAAGGAAACTACATCAAATCTGACAAGCAGGTCGTCTGGGGACAGGGAAATACCCTTGATTGTCGATACCAGGTGAGTAGAATTTTGTACTGCAGAGGTGGTTTTTCCAGTGAAAGGACGCAGGATTTCAGACAAAAAACGAGCTAGTTTGTAGGTGGGGGAGTTGATAGTAGAGACGATGGGACGAAGGGGTGTATCTACTTTATGTATTTTTGGTAAGCCGTATATAATCTTGGTGGCCTGGCAGCAGAAGGTTTCAACGAAAACTGTTTAGATTGATCATTTAATGCGGTTGAATCAGAAATTATTTTGTTGGTTTGTGTGACGAGGCTGTTGTCATCTGTCCACATGACCGGCCTGCTCTAGACCAATTCTTCGACCACATCAATTCCATACACCCAGCCATCAGATTTACCATGGAAGTCGAAAAAGATGGCAAGCTACCTTTTTTGGATGTCCTAATAAAAATGAGACCTGATGGTTCAATGAGCCACTCTGTCTACAGGAAAGCTATCCATACGGATGCTTATCTGAAACCGGATTCCCACCACCATCCATCACAGAAGAATTCTCTCATCAAGACTCTGTACCATAGAGCCCAATGCATATCCGACCAGGAACACATAGGCAGTGAACTCAAGCACGTACACCAAGCTCTTAAGGCTAATGGTTACTCCGACTATGCAATCCGCAAAGCTATCACTCAAACCATGAAGAAGGACCCTCTTGAGGAGCCTTTCAAAACCATCACTTTACCCTACATTGCGTGGGATCACAAAAAAGATCTCCAAAATCTTGAATAAACACAAAATCCAGGTCCGTTTCAACACATTACATAAAATCCGTGATCTGGTTCCATCTGTAAAAGATGTGATTCTGGACATACAGTACCCTGGTGTCTACAAACTAAGTTGCCTCTGTGGTAGTAGTTACATTGGAGAAACCAAACGCCATGTCTTGGACCGCATTCGTGAACACAAAGCAGACCTTAAACACGGTAGGACCAACGCCTCGGCCGTGGCAGATCATTGTTATAATTCAGTAGGCTCACATGACAGACTTTTCCAAGACAGAGGTTCTTTGTAAGCCATCTGGCTACCATGAGAGATTCGTTCATGAGGCTATCCACATATACAAGCACAGAGACAATTTCAACCGAGAAGATGGATTCTGGCTTAGCAATTATTGGAAAGATTTGATTAACCATTTCAGGTCTTAATTGATTGTTTACGCTTATAGTGGCTTTCAGACAGCATACATTAATTTTTCGTCTCCCCCCTCCTCTTTTCAGAACATAGATGGACTAGTCCTTCTAAATAAACTGCTAAATCGCTGCGCGCGGCGCTGACGTTTTTTATAAATAAATACACCGTTTAAAAATAAATAAATTAATGCGACCCGACACACCTGATGACGACCGTTTGTGTTATGGTCGAAACGTCGTGAGAATTTTTATTGTTTTATATATATTTTATTATTTTATTGTTTCCCTTCAACGTGACTTTACCGAAAGAGCTAAGAAAAATTTATTTATCTGTTAAACAAATACGTGACTCGAGTTAATAGGACGAAAAGCACAAGTTAACGATGTCATTATAACGCTTCAAATATAAAAGGCATGTCCCGGTCCTGTTGGGATTTACACCAACCTCTTATTTTAACATCGACAATGAAAATAGATAAATAGTCACCGACACAACAATAACACATTAATAAGCAGGTATTTACAGTCAGTATGTTTTTCAAAATTAAATTTGCAGATCATTTTTGTAATATATGTACAGGTTCTAAATGCTCACATTTTTTCTGAATTTGTATACATTTATAAACAGTTGGTCACCATTTATTTACTAGTAAAGTAGTCCACGTTCATCATGGACAGGCAAAAATTCGCTACACCCCTGCCTCGATTAAACAAAATGTTATCATTTACAGTCTTCTTCAAATGATAGTGTATTTAAATTCATAATTTGGATCATGACGTCCTTTAAAATAACGCATGAGGTTACCCCTTTCATTAACGGTCGCATAATCCCAGTGTGGCTTATAAAAAATGTTATGATAAACGTTGTACCTTATCATTCCAAAAGGGGGTCCCCCCCCCCGGTTTGTATGGATTCATTGAATCACCACTGATCAGTGTCCGTCAGGGCTACGTAAGTCGAGACTGACACTCTACCTCTACACACTGATTAGTGCTTCTAAAGATTAAGGAGTACTTCCATCCCTTCCAACTTTTTTTCATGAAAAATTCCCAAACTACTAATGACCTATCCATCAAATCATGCGTGTACAGTGATGTGTTATCTGATGCTAAGTTCAGGAGTCTAAGCATATTTGTCGCTTAAAATCAATGCTTTTAAACCCACACTGCGGTACTGAGCAACGTAGCCCCCCATAACATCGGTGACCGTGTTGTCGTTTCTCGATCCTCATATGTCGTCAGAATCTGTAAAGGACTACTTGCGAGTAATATTTGAGCGCACTGTTAATTTGAAAAAAAAAAATAACTGCGAATAAAATGACTCGTAAAATGACAATGGTTCGCAAGCTGTTCAGCCATGTGTATGTTCTTCAACTTCTTTGGCATCAAATTTTGATTTAAAGCTTTCGTGACTGCAGTAATTCATATTGCTTAGTTCTTTCGGTAACGTCACGTTGGCATCGTAGACAACCAAGTGTGCTAATTAATTAATGGAAAATTTCTAACCTGGCCTTTACAGCTTTGGTTAGATTTACAGATGTCATAACATTTGGTTTTGTGGCTGTGGCTCATGATCAACATTACGAGTGATGTATTCGCGATAGAAAATTAACATTCTTTGCACTAATTATATCAGCAATGGCCAAGGCCGCCATCAGTGGCGAGTGATGTCTGCGCCAGCACTAAACACGGTGAAGTATGGTTACACAATCCCCCACCGACTTGACATGGGAAGCCTTAATTCAGCTGTCATTTGACAATGGGTTTTAAATAAATAAAAAGTATACGTTAAATATTATCTCATTATGAAGTATATATTCCAAATAAATCGTACTTATATCTGCTCCTATACACTTATGTCTTGGCTTGCAGGCTCTTGAATTCTAGCCAATCCAATTAATGCATCTTCTAAACTAGTCAACACTGTAATTAAGTTTACTTGCTCATGTATCAAGTTGTCAAATTAAGAGTTTCATATTTAAAGATTTTTCAGTAGTTGCAGCCAAAGTTTTTTTTATCAACAGGTGGCCATTACAACTCACACCATGACGCACCCGGCTTTTGCAAGAGACAAGATAGTAGCGACGTGACATACGTTACAGCATTAGCATTATATAAAGGCATTCGATTTCAATCTAGTGACACCGAATGTGTTGAGTTTTTTTTACGATGCCACTTTAATTTCAGTTTAAAGGAGCTGCATGACTACTCATGGAAAAACATTTCCTATAAAACCCGCAGATGTTTGTAAAACATAAAGATACGTTATCAAGCAAATGCACCTGAAAAATTAAAATGAATTGCTGAAAAAAAATAACCTGGATTAGATTGTTGCGTCTCTGATTAATACCGGCACATGCTGCATGTGACATAAACATGTTTATATCATGTGCCGAAGAATCTTTTTCATTTGTATACGTTGTAATGAGTTCACGTCACCACTCTAGCCGCAAAAGGTGCGACTTTTCACTGTAATATATGTAAAGAAAAAGGCTTATCGTATCCAATTGTAACTCTAAATAATGATAATTCTTCAAATTGCCACCGGGAGAGGTCAATCCATCCACTGCTAAATTTTGTTCCTCCACGAAAATAATATTCGTTTTATTTGGTCATGTGTAACCTTCTGTATGCATCTTTACCTCCAAAGGCTCTGCAAGAATGTTCTTTGTAACCAAATATTGGTGCTTTTCCACGGACCGACCGAGGATTCCTTATTTTTTTTACTTGCGCAGTTTTTGTGAAAAAAAACGCCCATAATATTAAGGAGGTCTATTCATCTTACCAGACGTCAACAAGGAGCAGCAGTCGGGGGGGGTGTAAATAATAAATACATTCCATGCAGTCGTTGAGCATGCACTGGCATCTGCCCGAAAGCTCTTTTGTTCAAAAGTTGTGGTCCATGGGACGTCACGATGTCGGCCGGCGATCAGTGACGTCATGCACACGACAGATAATAGCCCCTTATGCTAATTAACATTCCTCATTTACACTACAACCTGACGCCACAAATATTCGTCTTGTCATAGGCAGTGGGAGAAACACATCCCATGCTGGCCTGATAAGGTGCTCTCCATACGTTTTACAAACAAGCCACCACAAGCATAAGAAGCTACAGTTCTAAGTCTGTGCCAATGGAAAGGGTGTGTGATTGTGAATATCAATGTGACCCCAAACTCTCCAAGGATTGGAGCCCATTCTAAAGTGAGATTGTGAACATGTTTGAAGCTTCATCACGTCATTGCGTTATTAGCTCCCAATGATGCGACATTTCTCGGAGCTGTGTCACTTAGAACCGCCGTTTGCCGCCGATGATTTAAGCTTAGTCTCCTATAAACCATGGACAGCGAAAGAAAATACAATTTTAATTGGCTCATCTCTACTCCCCTGAACCCAATAAAAACCTTTATTAAATTCCGATACCTCCTTACAAAATAAGCGGAACTTAATACTCTTTAGGCTTTCTGGCTAAGGGCTGTTTAGAGACATTTTGTTGCTATGATATTACCTGTGATTGTGATACTACAAAATGTCATGCCGTGCGGACTGCGACAAACCAGCACAGCTAACCAACGATGTAGGTAAAACCAGGGTAAATAATGACAATTTTAAATACCAATGTTTGCAGTGAAGCTCAACTCTCATAAGACTGACATCTAAAGTGAAGGTATTAAAGCATCACTTAAACACTGTGCAGGTAAGTAAATACTCGTACAACAATGTATCCACATGATACATTGTTAGATGTATTGGGTCCAAGTTTACAAATCTTAAAAAAATTATCTGTCACGAAACATAACTTGGCTGAATAACACAAATACCCAACATTATTTTAAAATAACTAAAAATAGCGACAAAAGTTATAGCCCCCTTGTCAACCCACTCTACCTCACGAAGGTCTCGCCACATCCTGCAATGGGCCTTGTTTCAACATGGCAGGGCGCAGGGCACCCATCCCCTCGTGTACCGTGCCAGCCTTTAAAGGTACTCGCTAACAGCACTTGCCCCAACACTCTGTTCAAGCTATTCGGGGGACCTTTGTCTTTTGCGGGGACAGGACCAAATCAGGACTGGTTCAGATACCGCTCGCTACCGACGTTACATTTTATTTCATCTTATTTTAATATTTATAGAACACCTTAGCTCAAGGCGCTTTAGATCGTTTAAAAAGCAGTGACAAAAATAGAGTGGATTCACAATGGCACAGGCGTGCAAGGGCCGGAGAATGAGTGACCGTAACAGACGGCAAACGGGGGGGGGGGGTCATGAAAGAGCTATAGGGAAGGGACAGGACAGAGAGAATGGGCCAAGGAGAAGAGGCGTTCAACTCAGGTTGCCAGGTATCAGGGTGCAGGTGCTCCGTCACCGGGCAAATGTCGTTTGTGGACGATGCGTTTTAGTGCACAAAGTCACACCGGTAGTCGCTGAAAACTACGAATAAAACAGTGCAATTCCATTCGATTGTACGCATTCAACACACAATTAAGAATATCGGTTTTTTGTGTTACTCACAAATAACTTACTACCCCCACAGAGAGCCAACGTATACATACCCACTGCTCACATGTGTCCCAATGGAGTGTCGCCCATGCCTGGGTGTCCCGAGCCAGGTTCCGAGGGGAGCCCCGACACCTTCTCCTCCTCTCTGCGCTTAAGGCAGGCAGCTTTCGGATTCAAGTTCCTCTCTGCCAGAGACATCGCAGCGCAATGAGCAAGCAGTGTTTTTCGTTGTTGTTTGGGAAAGCGCGCTTTGAAATTATTTAACGTCCTTGGGTCGTTGAACAAAAAATATTTCCACGACAATGATCGGGCGAAACAAAAGCGTCACCGAGAAAAATAATAACGAGCACTCCCGTTACTGTAAACGCGACGTGATTTTTAGTAACATAATTTAAAAAATGTCCAATGGAGTCGTAATTTCTTCATCCCACCTTTCCATATGCACACACATGTCGCCCCAGACAATACTTACCTTCCAAAGCAAACAAGATCGGCTCCCGGCCCCCGTTAAGAGCTCACACCGCTGCATAAAAAGTCCCTTACGCACTTAAAAAGGACACGGTTCAAACACAGAGGGCTCTATGAGCACAGCAGGCTGCTAGGCAGCAGCGGTCGCTTTACAATTTTAAGCTTTCTTGCGCTCGGCTACACGTGCTTGGCAAGGGGCGGGGTCAGTCGTTCATTCAACTTTCGTTATATACATTTTTTTTTGCTTTTAGATTTGTATTTTTTTCCCCGCCTCAGTGGACGAGCGCAGGGCTACCTCGGACTTGCTGCTCGAGGCTGGTGATGACCTGCACGGCCTGGTGAAGGATTCCCAGCTTGGTGGGGGCCCTGTCCGTCCGGAGGTGCGTCTGGCACAGCCGGCCCAGCTCCTTGAAGGTCTCATTGATGTCACGCACGCGGATGCGCTCCCGCACGTTGTTCGCCTTCCGCCGCTCGCGCTCCTTGGCCTCGCGCTCCTCCGGCAGTAGATCCTCGTCGCCACTTCTTGATTTTGCAACAAATTTTTTTTTGGGGGGGAATAATTTTTTTGGTTTTTTGATTTTTTTTTTTGGATGGAAAAGCACGGGAAGGATATATCGTCAGCCGATTTTGACAAAACAGGAGAAAACAAAAAGAAGACTTTTTTTGTCGAATAACCGGAACGAGACGGACGGCGACCTGACCCAAGAGCAGTTGCGCGACAGCGTGACGATGAACGAGGCCTCCAAGGATTCCGTTTGGCTTCTTTTTTTTTCCCCGCCGGTTTGTTGAGATTTCTTCATAACCGCAGGAGTGGGGTGTGGGGGGGGGGGAAATAATTTGGAATTTGCTCTCTGAAATGAGGAAAAGACTCAATTGGAGGTAATTTAAGCCAAATTTAGGTCATCAGCAATGGAGAAACAAGTCCGAGGCAGCATATGCTAATCCGAGATGGTGTGCCGTTTGGGCCCTGTCTCTTCATCGGAGTCACTTGCCATGCCGTTTTGCCAAGGGAACTAAGGGGAGTGGAGGGGGGGGGGGTGCTAATTCTGATCATATTGTAGCCAATCTAAGCTGCTGGTGTTTATTTTTTGTTTCCCTTGAAAATTGGAATGAGGAAGCAAGATGAAAAAGATGACAGTTTCCCACTTGAATAAAAAATCCGACAACCACCCCCAATGTGCAGAAGGAAAAGGAGCAACCCTGGCAGTTGCGAGGTAAGACACAATCCAAGGATGTTATTTTAGGAAATATTTTTCGGAGATGAGGAATTAAGAGTAACGTTCTCTATAATGCTCCAGTGCAAAAGACGCCATGCAATAGGTATTACTAAACCCACACCTCCACACTTTGCTCTGAAAGTGTATACGGTGAGATGGTTTGAAAAGCAGGACAGAAAACATTATAATTAAGAAATATTAGTCCGGAGTGTTTTCCTGTAATTGTACATTTAAACATTTTTTTTGTTGCAAGTATGATTTTAAAGATTAGTATAATTTAAAAGTTTGGGAAATTCAAAAATATAGTTAAATGTCCAAGTTTTGTAAAATTAAACAAATTGGATAAAATTTACCAAAAACTGTGATTAAATGCAATACATTACTCAAAACAAAACTGGATAACACTCTGAATGTGGAGACATTCATAATATTGAAATAGCAAGTTTTTCAAATGAGAAAAGTGCAAAAAGCAAACATAAAAGCAGCTGCAAATTTTTTTAAGATTTCAATTTCTCTTTGCCTTTTCCCCCCCTCTCTTTCCGCAAATAAAAAAAATAGGTGTGGAAGTCACTGGCATGCCTGGGCCAGCTAAGAGCGGACAGAGCTTCCCATGCTTGGGTGTGACGCTGCTTTTCAGGGGAGGGTATGGGAGAGGCTAAAGCTGGCACCCTGCCCCCAGGGCAGTTGGCGCTGGCGATGGCGGCGGATGGCGGGCGGCAACAGTGGCCCAACGGGCGGACTGACCTCGGACTTGCTGCTCTAGGCTCAGGATGACGGCCACGGCCTGGTGCAGGATGAGCAGCTTGGTCTGCGGCTTGTCGCTCTTGAGGTGCAGCTGCACCATGCGGCCCAGCTCCTTGAAGGCCTCGTTGATGTCGCGCACACGCAGACGCTCGCGGGCATTGTTTGCCATCCGCCGTTCGCGCTCCCGCTCGGCTTTCTGCTCAGGGGTCAGGTCCTCGTCCTCCGTGCTGCTCAAGGAAATGGCCATGCGGGGGGTTACCGCGCGTGGCTGCTATGGTCAGCTCGCACTCACGCATGCACGCATGCATATGAGCTGCTGCTATGGTCTTCCATCATTGACCGCCATGTGAGCGAAATCGTGACTTGAAGCAGTTTACAGCAATGGTTGCATACCATTTACCTGAGCAGCACGGGATGGTAAGTAATACACACGCGCAATATTCTATTCAAATGCACAAAGAAGAAACACGGTTGACACAGTGCTTGAGACACTAAACGTACAACACGTAGATCCTGCACAACCACAAGTGACACACAAGCCGACTCGCACACACATGGGGGGACACCAGCTCTGCTAGGTCGAGCTGAAGTAAGACGAGCAATGAGACGTCTGCGGGAAGACAATGTCACATGCATGCCATCGTGGAAGTTGCCTTCCATCAACATAAAACAAGACAAATGGTTTCAATCCCGCGTGCATACTTCACGCGCACGCATGCACTCGTTCATCGGCATTTGAATGCAAACAAAACAGTGACACTGGAAATACTTAAAAGGTATTAAAAACAAAGTCAATGCATGCTGCTATCGATACCGTTCGATGTTGCATTTCAACACAATGGACGATGTAGCATGTACGAGTCGGACTGTGCATTTCTAAAAAATAATTAAATGATTATAAATGCCTTTTTCTAATTTTCCCAAAGAATAATAAACTCATTATTAAAGTTGTAAATAGCTTGCTATTATCCATAAATTAGTGCTTTTCAGAATAATTGGCAGCATGGCAATTATGTGATGCCACCATTATTATTACATAATTTATGTGGCCGACAGTATATGCATTTTAAGTCTTATATATTTTAAGTTGTCATTTATTACAATACAGTATATATGGCCAACTTAAGTTTACTGAACTGCAGTTTAATAACTTTTAAGTCATCCATATTCAAACTGGAAGTACAGCCATCACAAGACAAACCTATACAATAATAAATGTGAAATAAAATTACAAGGTAAAATGGAAACTGATATCACGATAATCATCACATTGTGATATTGTATATCTTACCATATCGGCAACCTTACTCAATTTATGCAAAGGCAATTATGCAACCATAACATATGCACACATCACTGCCACCCTGTACTGAAGATATTATGGGGAAACTTCAAGTTTGACTTAGCTGTGTTAAGATGTGTACAATGATGTAATTCTGCCTTATTTAAACATGGCCAAGCACGCATGCATTGGTATTAAACATTCAATTAGGTTCCAATGTGGAATTGTGACCGTCTTAGAAGATGCAGACTATCATCAAAATAATTAGATAGTACTGCTCATAATTCATAAATACTATCCAACACCAAATTGCCACAGAGGTTAACATATTCATAAATATTTCACAATATGAAATGTGTGGTAAGTTTGACTCATGTAAGCAATGTTATGATCTAAAGCAAAAACTGGCGCACACATTCCAACTGGGCATGAACATTTATTTAATTTGGCGAAATTTGCTTTCATTCAGAATTTAGCGGAAAAATATCCGATTTACTAAAAAAGTGACATTCGGCCATTTTTTTTTTAAAGTGTGGAAACGGTCAAGTCCTTGCTGTGTCAATGTACAAAATAATGTGTTGGTAGTTCCCAGTCAGGTAATCAGGTTAATACCTTGACCTGCCCCGTGTCACTGACTTAATGTCGTCTTTGTCGTCATCGTTCTTGTCGCGGTCGTTGCGGCACGACTTCCCGTCCTCGTTCTCGTCCTTCTCCTTGTCCTCCGACTTGACCTCTACGCCACTGCTCTGCGAACCACCACTCACGCTGCTGCCCGCCTGCCCCCCACCACCAGAGGTGGTCAGGCCACCGCCCAGGCCTTAAAACGGGGAGGAACGGTTAGAGCCACGAGAATATGAAGACAAGCGCGTGCACACACACACACACACAAACGTGGCTGAGCATATATTCATTGTCTGGCCAGTAAAGCTCCAAAGATTATGCCCAGCGGTCTTTTCAAATGAGCACAAAGTAAATAGGCTGGTGTTGTCCCAAACACTTTCACAAATGTATGCGCAAACAGATTTACATGGACCAAGGACCTGAAGCCCATTGGTAGCAGGATGGCGGTTTTCACCGATTTTTCTCAAAATATTTCCTTTCCATCAACTCCAAGAGATTTACAGGCTATAGGACAAGCCACGTTTATGGAACACCTCTTCATGTCGGTGCAGCTTGCAAGAGGAATTATACAGTCAGCACCACATTTATTTGTGTTAGCCCAATGTGGAAACTTATGTGAGGTTAAAATTACAACTGCCACCAGTGTTGAACAACAAACAATTAAACAGCCGATTTTAATCGATTAACTTCAGAAAGTATCTATTTCGGAATGTGGTACTGTGCTTACTACTAGGATTACTTTATGTAGACATGTACACTGGACCTACTTAATGACAGCTGTATGTTAGCATGTGACTGAATTTTTTTTAAATAAAAAAAAGTTGAGTATATGTTGAGAATGGATACATTTAAAAAACTTACGTCGAATTTTAAATAATGAAGGTGAAAAAATACAGTACAATATTATTCGAAAACCGTGGACCTAATTCATGTATTGAGTGTAAAACTTCGCAAGATAGGAAAAGGAGCACAGCGAATCTACTGATGTGGGATGATACATCCCACCTATGGATGGGGCCATAAAACTTGCTCTGCGAAGCCATTCTGCAAAGTGCGGTGCTGTTGTCGCATCATCCCTATTTTGTGGTAGTGGTTTGGAATTCCACAGCAGTGGAGTACAGCTGCATACTATCATATACACACAGACACGTGTGCAGCTATCAAGGTCAATAAGCTATTGCTAACTTACAACTTTCCAGCCAGGAGCTGAGGGCACACTAACCACAGCGTATCCACCCGATTGGAACGGTTCCAACAATGTGCGGAACCATTTCGACTATTTTGGAACGGGCGTGCATTTTCCCCCGCGGCGTACCCCCATTTCTAGAAGTCTAACCCCTGCGTACGGAAAAGGACGACTGAAACTACCACAATTGTGTGGCTCCAACCCAGCTGCTGTGCCCTTGCTACTCTAAACTTCGACCCATTCCGCTTTGTAGACTGAATACTGTCAAAAAAAAAGGGCCTCCAGTGAAATAATGGACCCTCCTGTGTGGAATGGTGGCCAAATATACTCTACAAATCGAGTCGCTGGAGGCAGTGACACATTTACACATCTTGCCAGCACAGCTTAGGGTCACATTTATTGCACAAGCTCTGTAACATACAAAACTACCGATAATGAGTTTTGATTTACAATTTATTGAGGTCCTCGGATCACAAATACGTGGATCCAAATGGCCACTTATGATTGAATCCTCGACATCATCTGCTTGTGAGCCAGAAGTCATTCATATGATAATGAAAAAAACACTATTTAACCAGCGTTAACTCTTGGGCAAATTAAGTCATCAGTGAGCGCCTGCTCATGAGGACATTATGGGAAACAAAGAGGTGGCGTGGCTGTGCACGCTGTGCACTAGAAATGTAACCCTCGTTGTTAGGACTGGCACACCATGTAATTACTATGGCATTGTGCCACGTAGATGCTGAGACAAGATTATGGATTTGTTTTTTAATACTTCAACTCATAGCGTATGTTTTAATACGTATATGTGGTACGCATGGTTTACCTCTCACTCTGCAGTGATGGCCAAATAGGCTGAAAGAAGTTGGACGGACTCACACTTACACAATATCCCACCGAGTACATACGCTGAACTTCTTTTGCACCGTACATAGCCAACCACGCTCATCGGAGGTGTGGGGGAAGGGAAACTATAAGCAATACCCCAAAGGAGTCAGTTATCCTATTTTACTGACAAGTGGATGAAAGGCTGTAAATTAATTACATTTACTCATGATTATCGACGAAAGGCGGAGGAGCATCACAACATTTAGTGTCCTAGCCTCTACAGCCACAACAGATGGACATTTGTAGAGAGCGTCCTCTTTGCTCATTGTGGAATTCACCTCGGAAGGAATCTTGTGTGGAGGTAAGGTCGCTCCCGGGCTGGGCCGTCATGACGCTGGACAAGCTTGAGTGGAGCCCCACAGCATCGTCGCGGTGAGAGCTCACCTGCGGCACATCGCACGCCAGTGCATTAGGGGGGCAACATCAGCGCACACCTGGACGTTAACTACAAGCCAACTCTCGTAAAGGCCTAGGCCAAAAGGACGTACGTTTTTTCATTAAAGATCTAAGGGGAAGTGATTCATATGGAGAAAAAAACAGGTGCTCAAAGGACATTTTACAACTGTATCCAATGTAATAAAATGAGGTTTGGTTTTTTTTATTTATTTATATAAGTTTCAAATATATAAAAAGCATTTTTAGATCTCTGTCCAGCTTTCATCTTGCTCCCAACATGGTTTCCTGCACCTCACAGCTGTTAGTGCTGAGAAGCGCAGTTTCACAGTACAACATTTTCATGACTCAACATGGTATGAAACGGTCATAAAAAACTCATTCACCATGCTGTGCTTAGACCCAAGCACACAATAACGCAATACTTTTTGCTCGTAAAAATGTGGCTCAAACCATGAATGGACTCCATTTACACGTACAGTACGCAACCTTAAATCAATTTCTCCCTTCCACTTCTAAACTACAATACCTCCAAAGAAAACTCCAACAGTGGTAACCGCCATTGCCCGAGTACCATTGGTTAATAAAAAAACACATTACCAAGTAATACGGCGCGGATGCAGAGGAGCATGGGTAGCTGTAGCGCTCGGGCATCGTCCACGACTGGCTGGCATCAAGCGAGAAGCCCCACAGAGGCAGGGCCATAATTGCGAGCAGCCCTCGCACATTTGCGCCTTCTGTGAATTTAGCGGCACTGCCGTCCACAGCCCGTCCGCAAAAAAAAAAACCTTCGAGCTCTTGTAAAACACAGACGGGTCGCCATGGTATTTGAAAGTCCCAAGATCGCTCTGGAGAAATGTTTGTGCACGCCCGCAAAGGTGCGCAAAGAACATGGCTGAGAGTTCCCTAAATGGCACGATGAAACCAAGGCTCGCTCTCAGAGCCTCACAATAAGTTCTTGACAACTTCTGGCAGTTGGCTAACAAAACAGCAGGTTGCGTCGGAGAAAAAAATTGCACATGGCGGCTGCTTTTAATTTATTTACTTCGTCTAATACATTTCAGAATTATGCATAATTTATGCCACAGAACAGTGCACTTTCAAAGCTCATTTATAAATTACAAGAGCTATTAATATGAAATTTTACATGTGCAGCAAACTACATTATAGAATATATTCGTCCTCATTTATTGTACCTCTTTTTCAAACAATAAAATATTGAATGTTGTAAACTGTGCTTTTAAATTACAAAACTATATCGTACAAGTGATAACAAAATATAATTCTGTACAAGGCTCGCTAGATTTCAGCTGTGTATGGTTGAAAGATTGAAAAATAGTTGAGGCTACTCCAGGAAAAAAAAGATGCTGTGCATTTGCAGTTTACACATCATTAGTGTTTGGAGGACTGCGGGGAGAGAGTGAGCAATTTAAACACTCGTGAGCCGGCTTCTCCTCGTGGGCTCAGCTGAGCGCTTTCCCCTACCAGCTCGATGACTCTGAAGTGGCCATGTGTGCCACCGGTGGCTGACGGCGGCCGACAATCGGCCCCTTTTCAAGCGACGGATCCGCAAGTGACACTTCACGCAGCCACGACCCCTGCGCCAACACCGGGCCAGACGCTCGCCACTCTCGGCGGCGTGCGTGACCCCCTCACCCCCCTCTCGGTGAAAACTACGGCCACTGGCGCAACAAAACAAAACATGGCAGGTGAACCGACGCGCCGAGTTCTTGAACGCGGCGGATTTCGGTCGCAGGGCACGCTGCACGCATGCAGCCCTACACAGTGGGGGCACAGCCCCCGCGCCCCCCCCACTTTTTGGGCTTCAAAGAATGGGAGTTTCCACTTCAAAATTCAGCGGCTGCAGAGCCAGCACAACGCAAACCGCCGTCGTACCTTTTGTCGGGATTCAAAGGAAAGATCCAAAAGAACAGGGATATGAATTGAGACGCGCAAGTATAATAACATTTCCACACACAGCATAATACGACCTGCTGAGATGTATACATGTTTTTACTTTCATCTTGAAGGCTCTATATTCTAACAAACAAATATAGTTCTCCGCATACCTCTTTAATGGCACTTCCACAAACGGTAATCCACTAAACGATCACCTCTGCACTTCAACTCGCATGGCAACGTCAAAAAAATTGCACGCTGTCAATCAAATATATTTACGTTAAAAAACAATAAGATTCCACAAATTTACTGATGAAAAACACGTGAATTAAAAAAATGTGGCAGCAACACGTACAACGTTAAAACAATGACATTTCCACAAGGGGGAGCTGTCAAACAGCAGTTTTTGTGAATTTCCTTAAACTGCCGCAGAGGCACGCCACAAACTATTTTAGGCCTTGGCTTGCGCCCCCCCTTTTTCTGGCTGACAGAGCACAGAATAAGAAGTGAATATGGTAAGTATGTTTTGTCACCCTCACGTCCCCTGACCTGCCTTCCCTGTCTTATTCTGCTCTCCACAGAGATCTGCAAATCCGAGGCCTGTCCCAACTCCATCTGTCTCCTGTCATTTTTCCCGGATCGCTGCGACAGTTAATTTTAATACCCATCTGTTAATTGCAATCAACGCCGTGATGCAAAATTCCCTGGGCGCTCACAAAGCCCCCGCAGCCGTGACGATTTTCGGCAAGTCACCATGGCGACCAGGCATTAGTGAGATAATGTCCAATCTCTTTTTAATGTGCGGTGGCACTCTGCCACGAGCTCGCATACGCGCGGCCCAAAATCCTCCTCCTCACTCGTCCTTGCACACGCAATACATGGCATCTTAAAATCAAGACGTACACCCGCCAAAGTCACCCGCTGCACAACCTTAAGAGGTAAGGGACAGCCCAGGACAGATCAACATGCTGGCGTTGTAGCCACATTGGCTCTTCTGACTTCAAAATTCAGGCATTCCACTTCACTGAAGTTCACCATATTGCAAATTCCAAAGCGAAAATAATGTGTTTGCAGACGGTGGTAAAAAAATCTCAGTTATAGCTCTCATGGAAACATATTTGTGCATCTGGATATTAAAGTGCGTTGCGTGCCAAGATTCGAAGATTGTAATCTGCCAAAAAAAACACGCGCATTATTGTTTTTATGCTGACCTTTAGAAGGCGACTTGGGATGACCTTTGCATGCATAACATTGGCATTACTTGTTAAATGTGTGCCAGCATGAAAGCAAGGCTTGGCAAATTTTATCACAACTTTTGGTCTTTGCAGAAACGTCTAATCTTGGAGAAGAGCTAATTAACAGCAATTAATATTCAAGTCTAACATGATTTGGCATTCATCTTTTTTAACATTTATAGCCACTACTGCAGAGCTTTGCGCATCCACCCCCAATTTCCTGAAACTGGCACAACACAGGACATGCGCCGTGCATACCAATTCCCAGCTCCAACCGTTAATTAAACATGCAAATGAGGGCGTTAATTAAGTCCCCCTGAAGCAAGCATTTGCTGCATCAATAATTTATGCAAATAAGAAAGGAAAAAAATAAGCTGTTCCAGAAATTTCCAGGGTGAAAAAAAAGGACGAAAAAAATCAACGCAAATAGCTTTGAAATGACACCGAATTGAAATTTTTAATCTTCACCCATTGCTCTCCGTTCACTTCAAAATGCTCTGAGATTGTCCCCCCGTTCTAGCTCGAGTGATGGGGGTCAGAACACAACAGGTGTGCGCGTTCTTGCGAGCGAATCTTAGTAAGGGGGTGGATAAGCGCCGGGTGTTTTCGTGCACAGCTTCGTAGGTTTGCATTTGAACCGATACTCTGCCTCGCCCTCCCCACCCCCCTCTGGGGTTACACGGACCGAGTGTAAGGGACAGGCATGCCGAGCGGCCATCGTGCTGGTTTGACCAAATTACGCTTGCATTTTCCCCCATCCCCGATCACTAACTTGTGTTCTCGCAGATGCAGATAACGAAGCCTCGGACTGGCACGGGGGGGCGTTTTATCAGCAATGCACAAACATGCACTCGTGTGAAAATGCACATCCCTTTTATTAGCAATGCCGATAAGCAAGGACATTTAAAAAAAAATACTAAATACAGAAGTGGGCAAAAAGGCACTAAAATATTTAATTCCTCTATTGCATAATTATTTTTTTTCTCAAATGGCAGTGAAACGCTTATGTTCCTGTTGTCGTTATACATTTCTGCTGTTATTACGTAGAATGTATATATACATAACACACGCCATTAGTTTACTTTTAAAAAATGCTGCTGAAGGAAAAGACAAAGGGCAAAACTGAGCAGTATAATGATCCTCTGTGCAGAGTATTTGGCGCAAAGCGACGGAGGGGGCAGCAATTATACGCTTGATGGTCTGTGAAGAAGACTCAAGTCAAAGCGACTGCACTCCGGCCACGAGAGCCTATTTTAGTAGATTAAAGTGCAATTTTCTGGGTATTTGAGAACAGGCCGTTAAACATTGCTCAGAGTATCAGGGGACAAGGGCAGGGCCCTTTGATTTTGTGTCGCCGCGTGTAATAGCGGGAAAATTACAATGTGGGCATTTATTTAATGGAAGCCCGGTGCAAGTGTGCTAAACGCCATGCTAATTTTAAGCACGCACATCAGCTGTTTGTTGCAAGACTTTCTTGAAAACACTGAACGTATAAAATCTTGTCTGCGTGGAGGGCGTTGTAATTATTTTGTCACTTTTTTCTGGTACAATGTGCTGGTCGCAAAACAAATGGAATCGCACTGCTGTCATACAAACAAGGATCCACCACACCAGGGCGTGGCATTGTACATTTTAGCAGGAATTTAAATCCAGTTAATTAACATGTAATACAACATAAAACCACTGCCTGTATTGTGAACACAGTCAACAGAGAGGTATTTAGTTAAAGCATCGTATTGCTTTGGTCCAGTGAATAACCCCAGTCATCCATCATAGGAATGTGAGACTTTTAAAGATGGCTCCAGAGTGGACAGTAGACGGGGGACTATCTCAGGATCAGTCGACTCAGATAGTGTGCCCAAAGTGCAGCTACAAAAACCTCTACAGTAACTTTCTTGATTGTATAAAAGCTAAAAGCAAAAATTAGAATTCATATCTTGTTTTGTACATTTAAAATGGGAAAAAAACACTACAAATGAAAAAAATATATATTTTGATATTTAACAAATCCACAGTAAATCCTGCTATTCTAAACAATAAGTAGTAATATTTATTTAACGCTTTACATATATTATTACATTATTCCCTATTATTTTATGTCTTATCCCCTGTTTAATTTAACACAGGCATGCACATTGCCGCACAGTACCATTTCCCCAAGATACAAGACACGGGAAAAAAAATTATCAAAGAAAAAGGTGAGGCACAACTAGGGTCCTACAAACATTCCCCGAGTGCACACGTAACACAAGCCCGTCGCAACATCGTCGCAATTTTACACGTATTCTTCAGAATGTGTTTTTCCACGAAATAAATGCTATGTGCCGGTGATGCAGTTGAGCACTCTGTCGTGTGCGGTAAACAAGCATTAACACAAAAAAGAAAGACAATAAATCTCAATGTTGGGTGTCAAATACTTATAAACTTGGCTAGCTACCAAACGTTGTTGCCATTTGTTCATATCAATGGTTTCTAAAAACTCACTGAATATTCTCCACTCCCCACCAGAAGGAATTCATTTTCTACAATGTTTATTTGTTTCCTGCATTATTATTATTCCAACAAAAAGGTGTCAAAATGCAAATGCAGCAATATCATTTTGTTCCTGATATTATGCTTTATTAACTTTTCAATATTAGCTGTGCATTTATTTGCCTATGTGTTCTGTGTACAGTTTTTTAAGGCAATAATATAAAGAGAAAGGTTTTCTAAATATAATGAATGAACTGAATGCAAAATAATGCATTTGGGAAGTAATTTGAAATCAAGACATTATTAATGCTCACTCTATCATGACTTTTGAGTAATACTTTTGGCATTACCCTTTTGAATATCTGGCTTTTTTGTTTCCCCTGCTTTTAAAATTATTTTAGGCAATTGCTGAATTGGGATTAAAAATTTAAGCTGCACTATGTGCACACACAAACAAAAATCTAATGGCAACTTGTGACCATTAACTTGGAACGATGATTTGATTTCAAATAAAGTGCAGTTGCATTTTTGCAAACATTAGCATATCTCATTGTTTTGCGATCGGCAATAAATGCAATATTGCTAAGCATACACTACTACATACATTATATAGTAAGCATTTATTTATATATACACACGTTTATACAAAGGGTAGTCTAATACTTTCAAATGTGAATATTAAAAGTATATAGAGAGCAAACATGTCATGCCATTATTGAACGTACTCCTCTATATCATTAGAACATGGTGTGGTTTCAATACGCGTACTACAAGTGGAACTAATAAAAATGACTAAGCTCTCACCGTATCATCACCCACCGATTCTGGCCGTGCTCGAGCCTGCGTTACCCTTTTCCCACTTTTATTCACCACGGGGCTCGGTATAACTGTAAACTCACTAACTGCCTTGCCGCAGACGATAAAACACTACAGGCACAACCAGCGTGCAAGCAAAAAAAATCAACAAGATAGCGCGAGGGATGTATCGAATGTTCATGGTTACTGCAAAACAACGATAAGTACACAGTCAAAAAAGCAGAAACATATTGAAGGAGTACACACGCAGATACAAACTCTTCAGAAAAGTATTGAAAAAAACTCATTTAGACTCGGGATTCACAGTGGAACAGGCTGATAAACAGCACGTGTAAACAAAAGCGAAAACAATGATGTACGCAGCATAGTGCGCTCAAGAGAGATGAAGGTTAACGGTATTGTGTCGCCGAGTGCCGGCCGCTGTGCTCTGCCATCGTGAACGCCAGGTTATGGGCAACACCGAGACCACAGCCAGCGAGGGAATTCGAGGGCAGCCGAGTGACGCCGGCATCGATGCTCTCCGATCTCCCCAGTAGATACATCAAGTATATTTATAGAATACGGAGGCAACTAACAATTCTTTGAAGAGCGACTGCTTCCCACACGCGGGACATTCTATCTAATGTGGCGTCAAAAAATTAGGACAGGGCCAATGTTTCGCTGCTCTAATGAATGTCATGTGATACGCATCTTCGTAGGCAGCGCTGACCGGTGGAAATTACCTACGCCTATGACGGGGATCACTTTCTCCCAATGGAAATCACCGTTTACTTATCGTTATTCTCCCAAATAATGCTTGCTACGGAGATGCACGTGTCTCAGCAATAACAACTGTGAGTAGCCGGTGGGAATTAAACGTGGAATATTTAAAAAGAAAAGTACAAATTTTCTTTAAAGTGTCGCATTTACTGATACTAAACATTTAAATAACTCACATTTGCCTGTAACACTGCTTCAAAAAGTACATAATAGCCAACGTTTCGGACAATGGCCCTTATTCACAGCACTGAAGCCAGAAAGGTAGATTCAATAACAGATATCAAGCAAGCAAAAGTTCAGTGATGATATCTATTCTCGCTCAAAACAAATGAAATGTTTTTAATGACCACCATTATTTATATATTATTCAGAACTAGAATGATGCGTGGGGTTTGTATGGTTTATTTTTTTACTACGTACAGTATTTCGTTTATAGCTGTTTAATAGAAATGTACACTATTACATTTACCATTAGGTTTTTTTCCCCCCCACTCTCAATTGCATATTTTTCAATGAGGCTACTATGCGTCCTGTACAATCGTACAGAGACAAGCCAAGTGGTGGGGGGGGGGGGGTCAGGCTGTGTGGGAGGCTCACTGGTCCAACCTCAACAGCTGGAACGGCCATCATTAAGAAATCTGACAAACAGCTACACTGGGTCATGTTTCAGCCTTGCCAGGAATTTGGTGGCAGGTGCAGAGGCTGCTGCGGTGGCCCCACCCCTCCCCACCACCTCTTCACCTTCGAGTCCTGTTTGGGGACTAAGTTACAATGCAGAAACGAGGGGGGGGGGGGGTAATAAAAAACCCAGAAAATAACGCGATCTAACCCAAAAATCTTTATTATGACCAATACAACTCTGCTGCCGAATCAAACAGTGGCACCGATGGGAAAATAAAGTTGCCTTGCAATCGTATTTTGTTGCCGTGCTGGTTATCTCTGTCTGAACCCAGTGCCAAATTAACAGGTTTTTTTATTCTGAACTCCAAAAAGGCCTTGGGAATATGATCTTGGAGGGGTCTGAAAGGGACCGTTGTTATATAGCCTTGGCCAATAGCATACCCTGGCGATCAAGTTTCCACAACTCTTTGCCAAGCGACATTAGCCTGATTCAACCCAGCTGTGCTCCAGTGGCGACCAGGCCAAAACCATGGGAAGGCAGAGGAATGCACGCTGCCTTTCCTTTCTTTCCTCCCTTTCCATCAAGGCGCGCGCACACACACAGACATCTGGCACTCACTCTGGGGCCTAACGCAGCCGCCGCCGCGGCTCTCCTTTACGGCTGAGCCTGTCGCTCCCCATCGCCGCCCCCCCCCCCCGCGGTGGCATTTTCTCAAGAAGGTGAGGGAAAGCAAAGTGTAGCGAAGCAAACAGGAGGGCAAAGACCGCAAACGGTTGGACGGACGTAGTGCGTGTCCGAGCGTACGTGCGAGCGCATGCGAGAGCTCGCTTGCCGTAACCGCTGCTGCCAGATACCAGGCTGCTGCTGCTGATGCCACTCGGGGCCCCCCGAATGCGCGAGTTAAAAGCACAGCGCCGGTTTTCCCTGCCAGTCCGCAGGCTTCAGGGGCACTCACACAATTAGCATCTAATGTGAATGCTGGCATTTCAACAGAAACGGCGCCAATCACTTACACGAGTCAATGCTCACTTATCAAGTAAATTGAATAGACCTCCCGAGGTATATTTCTTAACGGAAAAACCCAACTGGCAACTCCTGCTACGTGTTGCCGATGAATGCACAATGAACGGTCACAAAGGTAAAATATAACGACTGGGGAAATACTCGTGTTCAGAGGTTATTAACTAACAGGGTAAAAAAAGAGATGTTTGTATAATTGAACAACTGCGCATGTGAACAAAAAAGCACATGCACCCACATAGATTGGAAATGGCTGATCGTTTAAAAATTTACAAATTTGGGGTCTCTGCCAACAGATGTACTGTAATTGTTAAAAAGATAAATAATCACACACATCCTTGTTTAAAAAATAAAGATGTTCCCTTCCAAAGTCTTTGTGAACACAATTTTGGAATTCACTTGGATATAAAGTGCCCCCAAGTGTCAGAAACTATGGCATGAATCTTAGTGGCAACCACACTTCCCAAAGGCAGATGTCTGCAGCAGTGCACTCTTCTTGAAAGCTGGATGAAAAATCAATTCCGTTATATAATGTAAACATACATGTCCAATGCAGATTCCCGAGGAGCTTTAATCCTGCTGTGCAATTGCGGAACAGCTTAACTTCCTGGACCTTATTTGAAAGCAAACGCCACGACAAAAAATCCTCTTCTCACAGTCGTCGTCGAAGCCACGCAAACGCCCGGCGCTCTCACCATGGCGGAGTGCCGACTCGCGGACAGGGCACCCGTGCCGTAGTTGGCAGCGAGGCCCCCGATGGCGCCGTTGTGCGAGGGCCCCAGGAGGCTGTGCATGTCCCCGCCGTGGCCGCCGGGCATGCTTGTGGAGGGCCCAACGGCGTGGTTCCGCAGGATGTGGATGGCGTCGTCGAGTCGGTCCAGCCGGTCCTCCATCCGACTCTGCCGGTTGCAAGCAAAAGAAACGACAGAAGACACCCAAACGCCTCCGATTAGCGCCTCTGATTAGCGCGGCCTGGCTACGTACGGTTCGAACGAAGCTAGACGTGCCGTACATACAAACAGAAGACACTGTTGGTCAGATGACGCGACTGAGCTCAACGCAGTTGATGCCACAGTTGTTGTGAACCTGGCAACGCAGGACGTATCCTGGAAACCAGGTGCACAACTCCAGAGCGAGTGTTCGTGGCCATGTGGCTCAGTTAACCACAGGTGCAAAAATGTGTTTTTCCCAATGTTATGTGGACATTAAAAAAATACATATCATGATGTTATATCGAAAAAGATCCAAGATGTACGTGGAATTAGGTTAATGACTTATCAGATTGTACAATTGACATATACGAAGCAATATAAAATGAAATATCGTACATCGGAAGTTTAAACAAAGTGTAAATAGCAATTAAAAATACACACAAAAGTTAAACATTTATTTTATTCTCTGGAAAATTATGCTCTTCCATATGTTCAACCTTACTGATATTTTAAGTGTTGGGGCAATGTTGCCATTATTATTAAGGATTAACAAATGAAAACAATTACATATATTTGCATCCAAGAATGTGGCACCATCCAACACATTTAAAATTAAAGTTTTATCCCAAATTTGTTGCAATATTCATACAATCTGAACATTTAGGAAAGAAAAGAACTAAAATGATATATTCTGTAGTGTGAAAGAACAAAAGTGTTTATGCTAATTAAAGACATATCAGTCCATTGATGGAATAGCGTAAAATCAGCACTGTTATCTATGCCTCCAAAATGCCACAACCAGGAAATAATGAATTGCCGTCACGCCAACGTTGGTTAGTTTTGCTAGCGTAAGCCTTCATGCTCAAAGCGGAATGATCTGTTTTGCGGAAATTATAAAACGTCCCCACAAATGGATTTATTTACCAATGGGCAAAAAATGCAGCCATTCAATGATTAGGAATTATATTAACAAACAAAAATGCCACCTCCAGGACTCACGGGCATTTTTCCAGAACAATCAACAAGTGCGAGTATGACACGCTGACCAATTTATCCGGTAGTTCATCTTTCAATGGGCCGTTTGTAACTCACAAAGGCTGGCACTGCCATTACCCCCCCCCCCTATATACCACGCTGTATTAGGAGGGGGTGTTTTATTACAGGCCACCATGAGGTAGTTCAGAACATTTTTGCTGGGATGAAGCCAAATGTACATTGAGCCAAAATATATTTTCAAGAGACTGCGTTTCAGGTCATGGTGCTTTACACATGATGGGGTAAAACTTGTGGGTCTCCCCCGATGAGTAGAATAACGTGCCGCTTTATATGATGTGCACACACCAACCAAAGATAATTAAATAAAGTGACAGGTCTAACATTTGGCCATTTTTAAAAAAATATATTTAAATGCTTATGCTTTGTTCCAAAATGATGTATGGCATTTCTTCCGTCTGCCAAATTGACGTATTACAATGTTTTCTAAAACCTGTTAATAGTTGCACTGGCAACATCGCGCTGCAGATGCCATATTTTTACATCAGCCCTTGGCTGGATAAACACAATTCAATCCTGCAATATTATCCACTGCATTACATAATGTTCCCAAAGCGCATCACCAAAGCATAGAGAAAAGCCTGCCGAATCACGTCTCTCGGTATATCGTAAATAAGGTTTCAAACAACCGATACCGGAAAAAAGTGTGAGCTCTCTCGTGCTCCCTGGGACTTTTTATTATTATTATTAAGTTGCAGAAGTCCTGTGCAGAGCAGAAGACAGGGTGAGTACCTCGCAGACATCCTTTAGGAAAGACATGGCATCCTGCAAGTGCTCATGAAGTTGCTGCTCCACGCGACTTTTCTGAAAGCCCAGAGAGGGATAAGAGGACGGCCAGGGTAGCAGGCATTAGTGGAAGCAAAAGCAAGCGCGCGCACGCACACACACAACAAAAATGGGACGAAAGCGACCAACGAGGAGATACTCTGTGAAGGGGTTCCATCTCCAAGTCAGGTTTAGTGCCGTGCAAACAGTGATGGTGAAGCAGGCGGCAAAGCGGCGGCGGCGGCGGCAGCACCAGCAGCATTTGATGTAAGCCAGAAGGGCTGACAGGCAGCAAGAATGTCGACTCGAGAGTTTCAGCAAGCAGAGAGAATTAAGATCATGCGGCCCCGCGAACGTGCTGTGAGAGTTACACAAAAGGCTTGCACACACAATAACAGCCCAATGGTTATATTTTGTGAAAAAGCAAAACTTGGACAGACCAACTTTTTTTTTTATAAAACATGATTCATCTGACAACTTTCCTCTGAGCTGCAAATAACCATGTATTAGAGAAGTAATGCAACACTAGTTACATATTCGCCTCTGGAGCATCCTCAAAGCAAAAATTTGCGTGCTTTGCAATCGGGCTCAAGTTTTCTTTCTCGTCTTACGTCAATTGTCAAGGGCGTGTGTGTGTGGGCTGATCGCAGTCCGTGGATGTGTGTAGTCAAACCAGTGCCCTGCGTGGCCTCACCAGTGAGTGCAAGGAGCTCTCATAGTTGGGAGATGAAGGCGCCTGTGCCGCGGTCCGTGACCACTGTGCCGCACCTGCAAAGCCAAAACAGCAATTAGAGAAAACTTCAAAGGGGGGTTGCAGATAAACACACACGCGCGTGTGCGCGAGGCATTCACAAAATACAGCACTTGGAAGGAGAGGCAGCGGTAGAAATATTGCAGCGTGTGTACTTGGCATATGAATGGCTCTTGATGATAATATCTTCCCTTTCTCTTTGCCTCCCACCTGACAGGGAGTCCAGAAGTCAGTAAGGGCACAGTAATGAGGCGGCTTCCTTACGAACGTGAAATGAAAAATACAAGGAGAATCTAAGAGGTTCAACATTTTTCACGTTTTATTATGCCCTGAGAAAATCTCATTGGCTTGAATGTTTTACCGAGTATATATTTGAAACAAAAAGCCCTGAATTTTAATGAGCAAATTTTTGAAATTGGTTAGTTGTATTAAAAATTTCAATGTCCAAGTGCTTTCATGCTCAAACAAGTTTGAGGTACCAATCATCATCTATATATAGCCCTGGGACAACGGTGGAAACTTTACATTCCGCATTTTAATACTTTTGATTCGTATGTTTTTTTTGGTAACAGGTTCACAAAACCCCTGCAACCTGTACAAAGTAAAAAAGTCAATTAATTACTGAATCAAAATGTCCTCAAAAATACAACTATTCATTGAATTGCCATGGGGAGGGGGTGATGTTGAGCAGGATCATACATTTATTATTCACCTATAATAAATGAGCACGGCTTGCCCTTCAAGTAAAATGCACATACCTAAAATTGCTCATGACACCAAATTCGTGGGCACACTCCGATATAACCACAATTTCCCCTGCGATTCGTAGTAACTAGAAAAAAATGGCTTTGTAATGCAAGTAATTAAATTGCTGAAAATAAAGCACACCAGATTAGGAATTCACACATACACCACATTTTACTTTACACCGAAACGAATGATGACACACACACACACAACGATGATAACGTTTACTCATTCAGATGATCGTCAACATTAGCAAATTACGGAAAGCGAATGCTTTCCGCGATTTAAACTTACATCTCTGCGAGAGCAACATCGCTCAAATGTGGTATTCCGTGAGCGGCTGCTCAGTGTGGGGCCTAACGGAGGACCCACTGGGCCCTGCGAATGGTGCTTTGTCAGCATTTCAGAAGCCCAGGGGTTACTTCCCAGTGACATGTCTGGGTGACGCCCCGTCACTCGTCAAGGGCCACAAATGGAGGGCCCTCCTTCGTCCTTTTGTTGGGCCCGAACAGGAGACTCCATAAAACAAACGTCTGTACCCCCACGCACAAACCCTTCGTGCCCCCTGCCCTCATCCTTCTCTTCTATTCAGCAAACTGCCCCCACCCTCCCCCCAAAACATTAGCATCACAAAAAGGGAGACATGCCAAGCTGGATGATGGCAACATTTTTCAACAATCCCTGGGGCGTAACCATTTTACTCTGCATAATGTCTGAGCTTTCAGCAAAAACAACTCTTTCTCTAACAGCTGACCGACAGAGTCAAAGGCCAGAGTAGATGTTACAAAAGTGCCTTATTGTAGTGTCTTTTACTGGTACCTAAAGTTGTTCCGGACCAAAGCTTTAAAGCAAAAATATATATATACATACTTAGACGACAGATGCATAATGCATGTTTCAATATAAATCTTTCTTTATTGCTAAATAACTGTCAAACTATGAAAATGTATTTCTTCGCTGATAAATTTACTATTAATGTGGTTCGGGAAAATTTCCAGCAAAAGATTTACGGCCATTGTAAATACAATTAAAATGAAATCAGCAGATGATTTGCAGAAAAATTACTGAAAATAGCAAAGAGGCTGCCCATCACTTCTGCCTATTGCAACTATGAGGGGGGCTCAGTGCCCCGAAGCGATTTTGTTCAATTTTAGTATTTTTCTTGGGTGGACATAACATATTTATTATGAAGATAAAGGGACAATGAACGAATCTTACACGAGGCGTATATTCAAGTTTCATATTAAAGCATATCATTTATTATAAAAAATTATGTTCGAAATACGCTGACAAACAAATAAGCATGCACCTCCGATTAGCACGGTTGGCTACGTACGGTGCGAAAGAAGTTCAACATACATACACATATCTGAGGCGACAACGCAGCTTGCCGAAAACCTTTGCGAATGTTCATTGTGGTTGGTAACACAGCTAGAATATTTGTGCTGTGGAGGGCGAGGATTGGTGGATCCAGTGCATGTTTAAACTCCCAAACCTGCTGGACTGAGAAGCGGCTATGAAATATCGGTATAGCAAGTGGGTTCAAGACCCCATCTGTGTGGCCCTTTGAGTGTTCTTCCACATGAAAAACATTCCATTCCCAATACAGGACCATTCAGGAAGAGTTGAACACTCAAGCGAGGCTTTTCTAGACAATAAAAGAAGCCTCCATTACAGTAAATCATCATTGCGTCAATAATACCCTCATTTATTGGAAAGCTATTAATTCTAAATGTGTTTTTGTTGAAAAATAAAAACATTTACAAAATGTCAGAAAGAATCCCATATACAGAAGCTATACACAGAACTGCAAATTTGTCAACGTGCACCTTGATTTTTCCACTTTGAGCAGGCGTAACAGAAAGAGGTTAAATATGGTTTGTTAGTTTGGTGTCTGTTTAGATTTGCATTACCCGCAATGTGAAATATTGACAGGAAATCGGTGTGATTTTATGCTGCGTGTGTTTTTACACCACACCATTCTCTTTCAGATGTATTAAGTAAATGTTTATTTACCTCTTGTTTATATATGCCAATTAGATGTCCATCCATCACTTATCATTTATATCTGTCCCTTTATCGTTCATTAGTCTGTGAAACCATAAAAATCTCCCCATTCAATTCAGTGAAGGAATTTGTTAATCTCCAAACAATGTAATTACCAAATGGGTACAGTTTATGAAAAGCATTGGATGGGGGTCATCACATCATTATCTTACCTGTGAGTGGTGGGGGAGAGCCGACTGGTGTGGAGGGGTTGGATGGAAAGCTGTTGCTGGTGTGATCTGGTGAATAAATCTGCAAATGAAAATGCACATGCTTTATTAAAACAAATCAACCAGGCAGAGAGAAATGACCTTGTCCTGCCCTTTAAGCAAAAGTGAAGCAATAACTGCCTTTGCTCATCCAGAAATAATGTTGCAACCTTATCGCATTATCCCCTAAACTGATCTATAAGTATAATTGCTTCTTGCAGTGACGGGTTTCCGTTAGGCAAAATGAGCCAATGACCCTGAAATGTGGCAGTAAATGACACTATTACAGGCCTGCATTAGGACAATGCATTAAGGAAATGAGAGGGAGCAGAACTCTTAATGATACTACGAGAATGCCTCCGGGCAACAAAACATCACTTTGGCTTAATGCGAGGGACCTGGTTTGTGTGCGGATCAATGCCTGGCCGAGCGCGCGGCTGGGACGAGTGCTGCACACAGAGCCCCACACTAGGGTGAAGAATCCATGCTGGGGAGAACATGTAACGCGATATACAAAGAAAAAGATCCCCCGTATAGCCTTAACAGACTGTTGGGGCAAGCGAGCACTTATGAAGGCCGGCACGGCACACGAAGAGGGGTGGGGTCGCCGACACCGCGCCCGGCCACCTTAGTCTACCCAGTGGCGATGTTTACACACCGCACCAGGTACTCATTTGAGACCGAGTCGACCTAGGGGATAATTGTCACTGGTGTTAGCCGTGAGAGCGGGAATCGAACTCGGATCGCCAGGTCCGCTGTGCAGCGCGTTAACCACTATACGACCGCTCTCCAATAACAAACAAACGTGCACATGTCCAACTGTGCTGTGGACAAATACTGGAAGGTGACACTAATATGCTAGGCAAGTCCAATGTGGACACTACAATCGCACGTTCATTGCAGAACAGACACCACTGAAAAATATTGGATCTTAACTTCGATTCTTCACAATTTTCTACAAAGGGCTGTAACCAAATCCTATAATTACAGCATTCTGCATTGTTTCTGAGCATAGCAATAGATAGTATTGGTTCTTTCGGTAAAGTCACGTAGAAGGCAAACAATAAAAATATAAAACAATAAAATTATTATTGTTTCCCCTCTACGTGACTTTACCGAAAGAACCAAGAATATGAATCCCTACAGTCACGAAAGCTTTAAATCAAAATTTATAGCAATAGATGACAATACACACAAGCAATCAAATATTTGTTTTTGGGAATTTTTCAGGGCATCGGCCCTGCCTGTGCTATGGCAGCAGGAAGCACAAGGCCAGCTGTGCTATGGTTGCAGAATCTGGCTGAAGGATGTAATGGTGAGGTGTGTTAGCATTAACAGCAGCAGCTTGTACGGCCTGTTGACCTGAGATTTGAAATACATACCCATGTGTCTGTATAAATGACAGGACGGTAGCCACACTTTCCCATTAAGGCTGACGGTTCAGCAATGTCCAAACCCAAAGTCAATGTCTGTGGGATAGTTGTGTTCTTAATGGATTTAGTGCAGACACATACACAGGTGTAAGCAATTGTGACTGACGGATCGGAGCACGACTAGTCGGTTCTGCCCATGAGTGGGGGATTGCACCATGATTTATGTTGAACTTCTTTCGCATCCTACGTAGCCAACCATGCTCATCCGAGCTGCCATAATAGCATCAGTCATGATGGCAGAATCTCCGCCACCATTTCTGCCCCGCACATAACTTGCATTTGATGAATGAACTTGCACTCTACCAATGTTGCAGTGTCAAAAGGCGCTTCGCACAGCTCAAGCAGAGAGAAAAAAAACCCCATTGGTGAAACGTTTTCCATCTGCCACAATCTTCCACCACTGTGATATCTGCCTGCTATGTAAATTGAGACCTGGACGTTAAAAAACACTCAGATGACAGGTCTTAAAAGTTGGAGACAAGTTATACTTTTTTCAGAGGCCATTATTCACAGCTTTTTCACAAAAAAGCTGTCAACTACTTCATGGCAAAAAAATAATAATCACGCGATAACTTTAAAGCACACCAACGTTTATAATGGTTGGTGCAATCGTGAAGTTTCACAATGACAAAACAAATTGAAATAAATGATAAATAACAATTCATCATCCTGTCGACTTCCACTGGCCCGCTGTTTACCCAATTTGGATGCAGGTCTTGACATTTAACATCTGTAGTGGTGGGGATAGATTCGTAAAGCTAACAGACCTGGGGTTATTAAAAAAACAACCATTACAGTCCTTTTCCTGGGTTGCCCATTGATGTTCAGCACAAACCTATAATTACCTTATTTTAACTTGATTTCAAAATGTACGTGATATGTATGTAACATGATCTGACCCAACATCAATAAGAATGGGGCTATGCATAAGCTGCAGTAACTTAAAATAAAAGTACGCTCATCCTTGTTCCCCCCCCCCCCCCCATTAATAAACAGGTAAAAGCAACGTACAAGACATATTGTAAACAAATATCTCCATTTTGTAAAAATTGAAAGTTTACAGAAAGTTGTTTAATAAGAAAAACAAATTAAAACACACATTCAAACCGTTGATAAACATGTCGAGATGCGTAAATTTGACTGCAAAGCGTAGGCATGTGCAATACGCTTCTTTTTTATATACAAAAAACAAACCTTCAGATAATTTTCCTTGGGCTCTTAAATAATAATCGGCAAACTGAAATGCTCAGTTGAGAAACGAAGGGCCTTAAAAGTTCCTTACTTCTTCAACTAAATGTATGGAAGCCTGAAGCTGCGGTAATTCAAGGGGCCTGGAAATTGTGGGGGGGGGGGGGGGGGGCGGTGCTGGGGAAACGCGATGACAATTTTGTGGGGGGGGGGTTCAGTCGGAAGGGTGCAAGAGATGGAGGAGGATATAAAGGACACGGGTGGAGGGAAAGGGAGTGTGAGGAGCAGAGAAGTGTGAGCAAAAGGGCTCCGACAAGAGGAAGTGGGGGGAAGAGACGTCGGGCCGAGGCAGGAGGTGGGCCAATATAATGCGTATCACCCCCCGCCCCCCAAAACTCACCGCCCCACATTTTTGCGGGAGCAGATGGGGAGCTTCACTGCAGGCCCCGTCACAGATGATTAATGAGGCTACCTTAAAAAAAAAAGCGCCGCCAGACCTGGCGACAGTCACACAAGCCCGCCTGCCCGACACGTCGCTGCCGTCCTTCCACTGTGCGCCTCCATGGAAACGTGCATCCAACAAATTTGTTAGTGCCAACCAACAAAACACATTTAACTTAGGCATTCGAGTAAATATTCCGCCACACCACCCCCTGACCACTCCCCACCCCTCCCCAGACTGCCCCCAGCCCTTCTTTTTAGATCCTTTTAGGCACACCCCAATCGTCATGTGCAGCCAATGTGGGAAAACATTTATGGATCCTAAAATTAAAGAAAATGCCATCGCTGTGGAAATCCTAGTCGGAAAATATTTTACGACATTAAAATATGCACTAATAAAATGTTTAAGATGAACTTCAAACGTAGTGCTGTGCGCTTTGAAGGAAATTCGTCATATGCGTCAGACAGGAATCTCATTAAAATAAACTTGAAAATGTTTGCCAGTCATCGTAATACTAAGTAAAAATATACAGTATTATATTATAACAATGTGAGCATTTATTTTATTAACTAGAAAGAGTAATTCACACAAATATAACTTCTAAGGGCAGACTTTAAGCATTCAACATAAACAGCACACATCTTTTCAGGTTTGTCAAATGTTCAAATAATCAAAACAATATGATATGGTAGGCTGCTTTATATTATGAAGCTGTTTCATCTTAACTCAAAAAGTGCTGGGACATATTAACTCAATTTTGAACTGGTTGATGCCTTCAATCAACTGCAGCTGTATTCGCACAAAGTTCTTAGCACTATGAACCGCAATGGTCAATTTCACATTATGATGAATGAACAGTGATGTATCATTGTGCTTTATAGCTACGGAACAAAACAGATTTATTCATTTCAATTTTAATTGGCCTGTTTAAATGATTTAATACCATTAATTGTGTAAATGTCTATACTTCTCTCCTCCAGCTTTTGAAACAGCCACAGACGCAATCATTTTTAATAACAGAGCAGAGGGCCATGAGATCATGTGTGTGTGTTGACAGCATTGGGTTTCAGGTTGCAGAACACCTCCCCCGCTTAAAACTGTCCAACAAGTCAGAGGCAGAACTGCGCAATGCCATTTTTTCATTGAGAAAGTCCCATTCGTAGCGTAAACAAAAGCCTCATTAGGTTGAATTTAACTGTCTTTTATTTACATTTTTCAAACGTCATGCAGTATTTCTGAGGCTATGCGAAAACCCTGCCCCAAAACAAAAAATCTAAACAAAACAAACGGCATGAAAAAAAGTTGCCAAAAAGCCATTTTAAGCAACCATTATGTTATGTTCTATTTTAGTCCAGTTAGTATTTTCAAGTGATCAATCACCTTCCTCAAACAATCCGTGCCAAAATGACCCACATACATAGACAGGAAGGCAACGAAGCGCTGCAGTCATTGATTCGCAAAATGCAATCGAAGAGGATCACTGAAGTGTTACAAAAGCACAGGAGGATGATCCTGTTGGGCAGACTGCTCCAGTAGACTTGCTGTTTAACCTGGCCCATGATGAACGGTGAGTACACACCTCTCCCGCTCAGCATATGAAGCTCGAAGGCGACAATGCTCAAGAGACTCTGGTCAATTGTGTGTGCATTACAGGGCCACTGGACACCTGGGTCTGCGGGTCATTCTGTGCACTGTGCTCTCTTGGGCGTGGTGCTTCTTTGACAATTGACCAACACATTACACAAGTTATTTGAGACCAATCGGCCTTTGTTGGTTTCCATTCATTGATGGCATGTCAATCACATTTTCACGAGTGAGATGGTTAATGTCCTACTTTAGCAAAGCACATGTTGCCTTCTTGCGAGATATATGAAAAATAATTTCAATGTATGGAACTATCCAAATGAACAGCTCTTCTGCACTATTTGTCACCTGGTAATGAATATCAACGGCCTAATGCAGTTTTAATACTATAACTTC